TGAAATTCTGGGGAGTGGGGAAGGGTTATAAAACAAAAATACAAATACAATGAGGAAGCATAGAAGAAGTCATTTTTCAGAGGCACAGAGAAGATAATGAAAGATACAATTAAACAGTAAAGTCCCTTCACAGCTACAGCAGCCCTTCAAGTACACTCTGCTCTAAAGGAAACAGCCCAATCCTGGAGAATGCAGGAGAATGACACTGAAGTGTCTGTATGAGTTTCCTGTTGCTGCTATAACAAGTTACCACACCCTTAGTGGATCAAAAAACCCAGGTGGATTATCTCATGTTTCTGGAGGTCAGAAGTCTATGGGGGGGGGGTTGGTAGGATTTTATTCCTTCTAAAGGTTCTAGCTAGAGAAGAACCTATTTACTTACCCTTCTAGATTCTGGAGTCCACATGTTTCTCTGGCTCACAAAAACTTTCTCCATCCAAAGCACATCACTTCAACCTCTACTTCAGTCATCCTCTCTCCTTCTCTGACTCTGCTCCTGCTACCTCCCTCTTTCCTTTGATTAATAATGGGCCCACCCAGAACACTGAAGATAATCTCCCAATTTTAAGATCCTGAACTTGATCACCTCCGCAAGGTACCTTCTGCCACATAATGTAACATATTCACTGTTCTGGGGATTAGGAAATGGCTCTCTTTGAGGAGTTATCATTCTGTCTACCATCTATTCTCAGGTGGCTTAGGCTATATTTTTCATCTCTTCGATGGGGAAATTTTAAATACGAGAGTTTTACAACTAAATCATTAGTAAAAAGTGAAATACAAAATTTAGAAAACAATCTTACCAGTTTCCAATGAAACGAGGGTCATTCTGGTCAAGGTGAACAGGATTTCTGGGATCAACATAAAAACCAATAAGAAGTCCACCTAATAAATATCCCACTGCAGGGCCAAGTGCTCCCATGACATACATGATGGCTGAGAAGACAGAAAGGGAAATATGAAATATAGCAACATTCCATTGAAGTGCTAAAAGTTCTCTGATGTCCAAAACATACTGCAGATACATCACAGTTAAATCCAGTGAACAACTTCCAAAATGTCTACATTGACATTAGAGTTTCAAACTGTGTGCTTTATCTCACTATTACCTGTGGTCCTCTTAGAGAGTCAGAATCACCTGGAATGCTTTCAGGTTGCTTGTGCTTTGCTTGTTTAATATAAACGTTCTGGTCTCACCTCCAAACCACTAAATTCGAATTTAGAGACCCAGGCTAGTTAAGGAGGCAAATGAGGCAGTCACTGAATAACCAAGAGGAAGTTTAAAAAAAAAAACGTTTCAAGATAAAAGGGAAGAAAAGTAGTGTCACTTGTCTTAACAGGATGAAGAAGGAACTTAGAAAGCTAGGTTGAATTGGGGACGCTGTTCAAGTACCTTCCAATTGATAATGTTTTTGAGCCACCATTGTAAAATCAAAAAAGACCTTGAAATGCATTTGATTTATTGTTAATTGAGGAATCTTACATAAGAATAAGTCCTTCTACATGGCCTGGGTCAGGAGGTCCGAATGGAAAGCACTGACCACAGATGGACCAGAAAATAATATTTTTAAACACATGTCCAAGGAGTCTGGTGGATACATGTTTTACTGCCAGTGGAT